TTTTTTGTTGTTAAATAAAGCTAGTGACATCGCAAAACAGCAATACATCTACTTAGCAGAGTATACATAATACCTCCAACATATGTCATTTATCTAGAATAGCATTGCATCTATCGGAAAATATTGGTTCTTGTAGCCCCTTTCCAGTCTTGCATGTCGTGCCCCACTTTGGATGATGTTCTTTCTAATGTAGGTAACTGCAAAGGATACCTATTAATTCTCTCTCAGAATCCTCCATTATCAATGCATATAGATCAAGGAGGGCTGCTTAGAACTAATTAAGCACATCTGCAAACATTTTCTTTGTAAGAAGGCAATTGATACACTTAAAAAGCAGTAGTTTGGATGTTAGAACAGCATGCTGCTATATGCATAGATTCTTGTGTTTTTTCATTCGCTATTTCTGATAATTAATTGGGCAATTGTCTTGTTAAAGAATGCTCTTGATTTGTATTGCCATTTGATGGCAGTGGGGAAAATAAAAATCACACTTCAGATCCTCAGTTCATAATATAAAATGGCTTGCCTTTGTTATGTTTTGTTTTAGATAAAAACTGTTACATAGAACATGGCAACCATGCTTAAAAGCACAGCAGAAAACCTATACAGCCTATATAATAGGAAATAACTGTCTTTTTCTTCTGAATTACATCTGTGATAATAATTATATCCCCTTTTTAGTTCCAAATAATTCCTGAAGTATTTTCTGGGAGACAACTCCCCGCCCTTTCAGATCTCCTTTTCACTCTGGGAATTTCAGGAGTCATAATTGCATTTGTAGCTATAGTCTGAAGTTGCTGCATTTCTGGAAACAAAATAATATTATCAATATTTGACTGATGGCCAAACCAACATTGTACTATAACCGGGTGAGTGAAATTTTGTTTTGTACTACAGCAGTGGTTAAACTGCTGTACTACAATCCCAGGTAGCCGGCTCAAGGTTGACTCAGCCTTCTATCCTTCCGAGGTTGGTAAAATGAGCACCCAGCTTGCTGGGGGGGGGGAATGTGTAGCCTGCATAATTAACTTGTAAACCACCCAGAAAGTGATTGAAGCACTATGGGGTGGTATATAAGCAGCACACTTTGCTTGCTTAAAGATTATATACATACGTATTTCAAGTGAAATCATCTTCATAAATCTAACAAGATATTATCCTTTCTGTAATTTCTTTTTTATGTGCTGAGAGCTTTTTATACTCTTTCTCATTAAAACTATCTCACTTCAATTACTTCTAATAAAGTATAGCATGTGAGATAGTTTGAGTGAGAACAGGCATAATATATTTGGCCAGTCATTGGATCACAGAAGTAAAGATTTAGCCACCAAGGGCTTTACCCAAGATTTACCCACCAAGAGACCTTTGGGTAGAGTGGGCGGCATAGAAATTAAATAAATAAATAAATAAAATTTAATTTGTGGGGCTGCAATTCCCAGAATCCTATGGTAATGTTAAAATAACATTAACAGTGAAAACTATCCTACAATTATATGTATATAATTCAGGGCTTCACAGACCAAAACAAACCAACAAGCAACCTAGAACGATCTGTTAGAGTTTCAGAAAAGTGTTGAAATGACATTAACTCAGTTAGGTATAGAAGCTCAAATTCTTACCTCTGTGCAACAGAATGAGATATGGATAACCACAGTTCTTCCCTTTTATAGTGTGTGGAGCTCCACATGCTGTCTTCGGAGAGAAGAAAATGGAGCAGAGAGGAAAGATGGCTAGTAAAAGAACAACAAATAGAAAAGGTGGCCTCAAGGATTCTGAGGTATGAGAAAAAAACTATGGCTGAAATTCTGTTGCTTAGCATAGTAGGCAAGTCATAATTAGAAAAGCTGACCACATGCTCAGTATGTGGGATGTTCTAGATTTAATCCTTGCCACCTCTAGACAAGGAAAGTAAAGCTTCATGACCCAAACTTTGGATGGTGGCTGCCAGTCAGTTAGACCAGGAGTCCTTAACCCTTGTTCTTCTAGAAATTTTGGGCTTCTAGTCTCAAAATCCTTAGCTAGAATAGCCAATGGTCATAGACTCTAGGAGCTAAATTCTAAATACAGTGGTGCCTCGCTTAGCAATGTTAATTCGTTCCGAAAAATCGCTGCTGAGTGATTTCATCGCTAAGCGAAAATCGCCCATAGGGACCATCACTAAACGAAGTGCAAAAACCCTCCGAAAAAGTCATCGCTAAGCGATTTTGTCGCTAAACGGAGCGCCTGTTAAGCGAGGCACCACTGTAATTCATTCCAATAGGAACGAATTGCCATCCTTAAGCGAAAATCGCCCATAGGGACCATCACTAAACGAAGTGCAAAAACCCTCCGAAAAAGTCATCGCTAAGCGATTTTGTCGCTAAACGGAGCGCCTGTTAAGCGAGGCACCACTGTATTTGCCTCAGGATAACTACCATTCTTGTAGATAACAATCAGGGAGATAGTCTACAATTTTGTCTCAGAATGAGATGATGCCTGTGCAAACTGGAATAGAAATATGCCATATTTGCCAGTGTATAAGATGACTAGGTGTATAAGACAACCCCCCCAACATTTCCACTAAAAATATAGAGTGGACGGCTCTGCTGCGGCGGTAGCGGAGGAGGAGGAAGAGGAGGAGGGGAAGTGGCTCTCCAGTGATGGGCGGGCGAGAGGGCAGCTGGCTCAGCAATGAGGAGGAGGGGAAGCAGCCAGGCGGGCGGCGGCAGCGGAGGAGGAGGAGGAGGGGAAGTGGCTCTCCAGAGGTGGGCTCTGGCTGCTCAGGCATGGACGGCTCTGCTTCCCTCCCTCTGCCTGCCTGCCCGCCTGCCTTCCTCCCCAACCAGCGCAGGCCCGCATCACTCACTCAACGGCAGCAGCTCCTTCCTGGCCCAACTGAGGTGCACCCGCCGTATAAGATGAAACCCCCCCCCAATTTGGAGGCATGTTTTTTGGGCCAAAAAGGTCATCTTATACTCCAGCAAATATGGTAAGATTCTCTCAATGACTGTACAAAGAGTCTCTCACAATAACCAGAATCCAATTAAATATATACACCAGCATATAACTGCAATGGCATAACTTGAAGGAACAAATAGCTGCTAATAATCAAAGTTGCTGCTTGAATTCTTAGTTACACACTAATTGAGTGTTGCAGCATGTACGTATCTAGGAGTTCCATCAGGGACTCATTAATTAGCAGCTGTTTGCCACTCCATGTTAAGCCATTGAACCTTGGTAGATGTAACTATTCAACTGGATTCTGGCTGAAAAACCAATGATCTCCAGTACTGCAATCTAGTGAGTTTGGGTTAATCTTCTGATGTAGCATGGAACATCCATGCACAGAATTTGTCTTGTACCTGTGAGAGGATAGTACCAGTGGAGGATGGTAACTTATATTGTACATTAGTGAGGGGAAAAAAAATCTTCCCCTACTCCATTAAGTCAAGAGTAAGAAATCTTTGCACTTCAACCTCCAGAAGCCCCAGCCAGTATGGCTACTTATGGTAAGGGTTCATGGGAATTAGTCCTACAGTGGCAAATGCTTCCCAACACTACATTAGTGGTGGCTTATATAAATATGTTGTGGTCCTGGCTGTACAGTTAGCTGTTGTATGGAAAGATTTCTAATTAGGAGGTAACAGGATGTATTTGCATTTTAGTTTTTGCATGTAAGTCATAATGCAGAACTAAGCCTCATTTGGCTCTACACTGCAATTTTTTATTTTTAAAAACTCATTAAAAGAACTGACTGGATTCGGTGAAACCTGATAAATTGCAACCTTACTTTTGCACAAGCACAAGCCATTAGTACTCAGTCGCATTATCTCTACTGCAACTTTTTCTTAGTTCCATTCATTATGACTGCAGAGAACATAATGGAGCTGTTTGGGCAGAGCGAGTCCCAAATTCATTCTATGCTGACACATTATTTGTGGGTACAGTTTTACCATAAATTACCAACAGCAGACAGGAATTGCCGAGCCAGAGCTTCAGGCTCCCTGGTGCTGAATCCATCAGAATGAACAGATTGTAAACTGCCCATTGCAAATATGATATGCAGAAATTTAGCATCCCGTTAATACTTCATAATGTCAACCCCTTCCATTTATATAGCTTCCCCTCCCCGGAAGCTTTGGAAATTGCTTCTCTCATTGCTATATGCCATGCCTGGCAGATCAGATTTAGTAAGAAGAGTGAATACTTAGTTTTTAAAATGTTTTTTTGTCTAAATAGTGATTGTTACAAATAATAATTAAAAATATCTGCATAAGCTTCAGATGTTAGTTTTTGCTTTTTTATTTTTATTTCTTTATAAAGCAGTAGGGATGGAATCACCTATCATTTGTATTTTCATTATTTGGATTGCATGCATGTGTTTTGGTACTGCTCACAATTTAAGCCGTTATTTTATGTGCACTTACAGACTGTATGTTCCCATCAGGATTGTTTTTATGAGCTCTTTCTTGAAGCAGGACTCTACTGGGCTATATCATAAACAACTTGTGAATCAGTGGATTCTGAGGATGCTTACATGAAGCAGAGGGCTGTTAATATAGAAAGGGCAGGCTGTGCAAGTGGGAAATTTCTCACATTGCTCCCGAACTTCTTTGTTGCTAGAATCAGAGAAAGAATAGTAATGATGTGCTGGCTAACCTGGTGCAAGAGAGCTAGCTGAAGTTACTTTTTTGGACTACCACTCCCAGATTGAAGGATTTCGGCTGTTCTCCAAAAATGTCTGTCCCAAGCTCTGGATGAGTAACTCTGGCAGAAGCTCAACCTTGCTACTTTTGGAGCTGGTCCTGTTTTGAACCTGACTAGGTTTTCATTAATGTTGTTCCCTTTGCAGCATGGAAGGAATTGCTACTCAAGCAGCACATGGTCCAGACCAGAACCTTTCTGGGTGTGTTGAGCTACCAGGGCTGGCCCAAGACATTTTGCTGCTTTAGAAAAGAACAAAATGATGGCGTCTTCCATTCATATAGAAGAGCCAATGGATCGTGAGGCAGCTTCGAACATGGCATCTGAAAACCAAAAGCAGATGGAGACAGCAGTTATAACTAGGCCACAGCACTCTTTCTGTCTTTCTCTTCCAGCACTTTGATAACTGCCTTCCAGCATTTGCCTGCTGAAGGGACAACCTGAATCTTCCTGATGGTAGGGCTGGCCTTGTGAAGTATCTTTACTATTGTCCATATCGTGCTTGTGCAAAAGTGATTTGGCTCCATTTAATAACATTTAGATATCAAGTTGGGACTATTGTTGACTCCTTGTACTTTTGGACTGCAAATCCCATAATTCCTCATTTTGTTCGCCCTGACAGACCCACGACTACAGATACCTACATGTGGCTGACCTGGAGAAAAAGCGTAACTGGGAAGGCTTTGAGGACTAGCAAAGGCCTACTTCCACCCAGCTTCCTGTTCGGAAAAGAAGCTCCCAGCTAACAAAGTATAAACCTCCTTCCTACATAGGGAGCCAGGGCAAGTCTAGGAGTATGCTAGGCCTTGAAGGATTAGCAGCTAGTCCTTTTCTCCATGTAAATCACATTTAGGTGTCTGTAGGTATAAGTCTGTCAGGTGGAAATCCCAGAATGGGATTTGTAGTTAAAAGAACAAAACCCATGCCAAGTTATATGCAGTCAAGTCAATTCCAGTTTATGGCTTAGCCTTCCAGGTTTTGTAGTTATAAAGTACTCTGAAGTGGTTTATCAGACTTTCCTTCTGGTTACTCTGGGACCACATGGCTTGTCCAAGATCAAAAGGTGGCAAGGCCCTTAATCTCATCAGCCACGTGTGCTCCAGGTACTCTCCTCTGTCTCCTTTCCTGGGAAGAGATATGGAGTCCTAATCCTGGACCCACAGTTGGGCACTCCAACCCACTAAACTATACCAGCTCGTAGCCTTCTTCTTAGGCCACATTTAACCATGCCATCAGAAAACAGCAGTTTTCTTCATTTATGTTTTATTCTTTTTAGGCTGTCAGACTAAAGCAAAACAAAAATAATTCAAAAAATCTACTTCTTTGTCTGAAGAGGTTGACTCTTCCACGGAAGCTCACATTAAAATATGGCTGTTAGTCTTTAAGGTGCCATGTTTTTGTTTCCTTTTTTAATTTTTGTTTTGTTTTTGCCTGACATGCTGGCACAGACTAACATGGTCACCTCTTCTAAAATGACTCTTCTTAGGCTGTACAGTAATACCCAATCACTCTTGCTAGGGAGCAAATTCTGATGACCTTAATGAGTTTCTATGGGCTTAGGATTAATTTTTGCTACAGAAACATCAACTTCCACAATATCTCATCTTATTTTTAGCAACGTTATTCAGCTCCTTCTAAAAATATCTTTCACACTCATACCCTCTATTTGTTCCTATCTCAGCAGGGGATTCAGTTGCCCATTGATTCAGATTAGTTTTAAGAAATCCACATGGCGTTAGTGCAGACCTGAACCAGACCCTTACAGATCCTTTCCACTTCAGAGTTATTTAAACTTGCTTGGGAACTGGATATTTTATTTCATTTTTATCATTTTTTGAAAACACAGCAATTTCAGATAGGTTATCTTCATCTGTCATTTTCTCAGAAAACCCCAGTTCCTATGGGGGAATGTAGAATTAGAACTCTACAGACATTGGCTGTGATGTCATGTGTAAGCATGTTCTCAATATAGAGCTAGGCTGACTCTTCCGGCTTCTTCAAGAAGGGTTGGGGTGACCTCCCCAGGACCATAGCCTCTCACCCTCTGCTTCAATGCCTTGGCAGGAGCAATGTAAACAGGATGCTATTCTACCCTGCAAGAAAAGAGCTAACTTCTCTAATATCTTCTCCGAATTCTGTAGACTTTTCTCCATGTTGGACAGAAATCAACACCATTTCCTTCCAAAATAAATAAATAAGTAAGCAGCAGTTTCTACTACCAAATCAAGTAACAGCAAGCCATAATAGGGCAGAGAATGGGGAGGTTATGAGAAAAAAGGGGAGATGTGTTATATTGAAAATCATCTCTGAAGTAACTAGATTCCATTCAAGGAAAAATTAAATCTATATATGTAGAAGCTTGGAGTCATTCCATATGTATGGCGGAAAGAGATCATGGTTCTAACCTACATCAGTCTCAGCCACACATCTATCCGGACAGGCCATAAGATTCTCATGCTTGTGGAGAATGAGGTGGCTTCCCCAACCTACATATATATGTTCAATTTTTAAAAAGGAGAGGGAATAGACCAAGGAGGTTGCTGTTTAATTTCTCACCTCTTACCTATAGATTAACCTTAGATTCTGAAGCCTTTGGGCAAAACCCTAGTTGCCTGAATCTAATTACAGCCCTGCCTCCACCCCAAAGTGCTATAACTTCACTTTGAAAGTAGGACATATTTTCCCCATTATCTTTAAGGAGACACAGGATCCTGTGAAAAAATGGGAGGGGGAGATATGCTTGCTGCCGAGTCCAGAACTATTGGCAGGAAATTGCCCTTTGTCTCTCAGGTAGGGTACCAGTGCACAGGGAAGTCCAGTAGGCCCTCATCCATTCTTCCCCCACCTTGCCAGGAAGATCACCACTTCTCTCTCAGGAAGATGGAGCAATGAAGAGAAGCACATTTTATTTCCAGCAGAAGATGGACCGCTGCCTGCTAAATTGTTCCTGTATGTGTGGGATTTTGCTTTGTATTTAAAAAAATTTCCTGCAAGCCACCTTGAAGATGTTTTGATCAAAAGGTGAGATATATATTTCCAGCATTTCTAAGGACATTTTAATAGAACCACACAAGGTCTGATCTATTAAACACAAAGTAAGGAAATTGTTTTGGAATGTAACTCTTAAAATCTTCAAGATAGGGAGGCCACTAACCATGCTAGCTAGCTGATTTTTGTGAACTGTAGCCCAAGAAGTAACCTTTCCAAATTCTGAAAACTCATCTCACCTCCAGCATGTACTGTGGACTGCCACCTGCTTGCCAGTCTTTTGGTTTTGTAGCCTGAAGCTAGCAGTAAAAACAGGGTTATTGAGCTCAGTGAGTCTACCATGTGTTTGGCTTGCTAAATCATATGTTGTGTGGACTGAATGTGCAAAAGATTCAAACACCATCCAGATTAATTAAATCTGTGCTTGGAAAATAACATGAATTAAAGCAGAGCAGTGAAGGAGTGGAAGAGACACAAATGCTATTGTTTTGAATGATTTTATTACACTTAGGACAAGAAGTGGTAGGTTTTACCATTTAAAAGCAGCTCACTGGTTTGAGTGGGTGACATCTATGATTCCTGATATGTAAGAATTTCCTTTTCCTTACATATAATAATAATGTTTTCTTATTATTATATTTTCGTAAGCTTCCTGTGCTTTAGCTATAATGGATTCAAGCAGCAAAAGATATCCTTTATATATAAATTAGGTGTAAAAAACACTAAGAAGCAAGAAAGTTAAATGTTTATAAAATTTATAATACATGTATATTAAATCTAAGCATGGCTTACCAAAATAGCTTCCCCAAAATAATAGTTAGCAGTAAGAATGTTGATGCCTCTCCACCCCCACCACCAGACACTGCTTTATCTAGTAGTTTCCTCTGCCACTGTGGCTTATTCCTACCCCCATCCTACTTTGTGCAAGCCGCAGAAGACCACTTTCTTCCTATTCCATTGCTGGCATCTTCTGTCTACTGTGTGCTGTATTTGTCATCTTCAAAAAGAGGCCAGGAAAGGATATAGACTAGAATTCTTCAGAGTTCACTTCACTTATTGAATTATTTCTGCCACTCTTCCTGTTTTGATTTTACCCTTTGTACAAGGGAGTGCTGATAAGTATTGAGCCTTACTGAGAAAAAAAAATTGAGCTAGGAAACTATAAATTGCAGGGTGTATTGGCCAATTTGTCTATATTCAATGGTGCAAAAATCAGCTACCTATGATTTTAACTTAACTTCCAATTTCTGGTCCAAAATGAACATGGCAGCACCTCCAGAAAAGTTCAATGTGGAAGAGCATAGGACCATAATCACCAAGGGAAAGGTGCAAAGCAGATCCATGATGAAATGCCACAAACTATGTGTGACAGTGGCCCTTCATATGCAACAGTTAAACATTGAGTTGTCAATTTTAAAACTGGCCATTTCAGTGTTGAAAGTGAGAAACCCAGTGGAAGGCCTGTTTCTGTCTCTGTGCCTGCAAATGTGAAAGCCATCAATGACACGATCATGGAGGTCCACTGAATATCAGCCAAAAGTATTGCTATACAGTGGTGCCTCAACTTACGGACGCCCCAACCTACGAACTTTTCGATTTACGAGCAGCTCTGCTCACAAAATTTTGCTTGCAAGCGGAGCTTTGACCTAAGAACAGCAACAACAACAACAAAAAAGGGCAGGAAAAAAGGCGGGAAATTCAAACTGTTGGTGGTGAAGAGGCTGCGTCTTTGTAGTTCTTTTGCCCAAATGGTTAGAGCAGGGGGTCAGGAAATTTTTTTACTCCTGCAGGGCAGGAGGAGGGAGAGGCGGGGGCGGCTCAGGATTGCCGCAGGCACGGGAAGCCGGTGCGCTTCCTGCCCATACCTGGTGGGGGTCTACTCATGAGTAAGAGCCACCAAAGGTGCAGGTCTACTCGTGAGTAAGGCCCCCCTCAGCTGTGGCCAGCCCCACCACTGCCGCCTTGGCTGCCCTACGCTGCTGGCCGGGGCCTGTCGCCGGCTGCCAGAGTGAGTGCCATTGGAGGAGGCTTCGGTCTGCCTGGTAAGGTGCTGCTTTCTACTTTTTAAAAACTGGGCTGAGGGGAGTTATGTTTCTGTGCTGTGTTGTTGTTTGTTTCTGGTGATTATTTTTGCAGTCCTAGTGTGGGGATTGCTCCATGTTTATTTATTCATTTATTTTGCAGCCTTCGAGGCTTGCTGTCTACTTTTGGTTGTTGTTTTTTTTTAAGCCCCAGCACCATCCAATGGGGCTTTCTGTGTGCTTTTCTTGTATTTTTTTTAAAAATGCTGGAACGGATTAATCCTGTTTCCATGCATTTCAATGGGAAATGGTGCTTCGAGTTACGAGCATTTCTACTTACGAACATCTTCTGCGACGGATTAAGTTCATAAATTGAGGCACCAATGTATATCTGAGAATATCATGTGAGAGAGTTGGTGCCATTATCCACAATGACTTGGAAATGAGAAAGCTGGCAGTAAAGTGGATCACCAAATTTTTGACAACCGAACAAAAGAGGAAACGTGTGGAGTCATCGGTAGCTGTTTTGGAACATTTTGCAAGAAATAAGTCAGATTTCCTGGGCAAACTGGTAACTGGTGATGAGACATGGATCTACTCTTATGATCCTGAGACAAAGGAACAGTCCAAGGAATGGAGGCACAGTGGTTCCCTCAGGCCAAAGAAGTTCCAAGTGCAAAGGTCGGTGCAGAAGCAAATGGCAACAGTTTTTTGGGATAGGAAGGGAGTTCTGCTGGTGGACTACCTCCAACAGGGTTCAACCATCAATGTAAAATATTACTGTGCTTTATTGACGAAGTTGAGGCAAAATATCAAGAAAAAACGTCGAGGAAAGCTCTCCAAAGGTGTCATCCTGTTGCATGAAAATGCCTCGTCACACACTGCAGGTGAAACAATGGCAAAACTGACCTCCTTAGGCTTTCAAGTGATGCCCCAGACCTGGCTCCTTCTGACTATTATCTGTACCCCAAACTCAAAAAAACACCTAAAGGGATGACGATTTGGGAGTGTTCTGGAGGCAACTAATGCTGCAAATGAGTGGTTACACCAGCAGTCGGAAGAATTTTATTTGCAGGGACTTAAGAAGCTGCAGGACAGATGTCGCAAGTGCATTGACTTCCTGGGGGGAATATGTAGAATAGTGTGGCAGTTACAGCTTCCTAGCTCAATTTTTTCTGGGAAAGGCTCAATACTTGCCAGCACCCCCTCGTAATAATCATGTGCTGTCAAGTGACTTCCAATTTATCACAAACCACCCAGGGTTTTCTAGGTGTAAAATACTCAGAAATGGTTTGAGTTCCCATCCCGTAGCTTTGCAGCCTTACACTGTAACTCACTGAACTATACCAGCCCTTTGTTTCTACCCTATGAAGTAACAAACAGTAGTGCTTTGAAGCCATCCTATCATGAGGTCTATTCTTTTATTCTGCAACCCATTCACTTTTATGACTAGTCTGATGGTCATGACCTACAGCACTTTTTCATTTGAAGTGCTGTTGGAGAAAGCTGCCCTCCTCCTTATATTTCCACCACTTCTCACAAAGTGCTACCCAAGGTAGTCACGCAACCAAAATTATTTAGTGTTAAGGATAGCTTGGGATTCCTGTAGATTTATTTGCAAGTGATGCTTTTCTTTGCCTTAGTGCCAAATAACATATTAAAGTAAAGGGGGAAGGGGGAAATATGTTGAGCTTACAATGTATTGGAAAGGGTCTCTTGCTGAATCCACATCCAGATGAATAGGATTTGTGACAGAACACTCTTTTCCTATAATTTTTAATGGAGTTGTGATCAGAAACGCCATTGTTTTTTTAAACTAGCAGTATAGGCATCTTGAATAGTCTAAGTAGACACCATAAGATGCACAATAAAACATTAGTCAATAAGCTAAAACTGGGTTTTCACTGAAACATGTGAAAATTGTTTTCATAAAGCAGAATAATCTAAATTTAACTGAATACTTAGGGCAGAATTTTAATAGTGATCCTTACAACTGTACTGGAAACGAGAGATTGCATTTCATTATTTAAACAATAGTGTGCAAATGGTTCCCAACGGGGGAATCACATCCCTTTGGAGGAGTCTGAAGAATCTGAAAACTGAAAGAGCACTGGATGATAGTTGTGGCGTTTGCCCAGGTTATGAATATTCATATGCTATTTGCATAGACCAATGGGAGTGCTGGAAGGGCGGAGTCACAAGGTATAAGAGACTTAGCAGGAGGAGATAGACACAGATAAGGTTTTGAGATGGAGTATTAGAGAGTTGAGAGAGTTTTGGAGTTTGGGCAGGAGAGTGGTGGTGGAGAGTGGATAAAGAAGAATGTTTGTTTAAGAGTTAACAACATTGCTTGTTTGTCAATAAACAATTTCTGTTTAGTTCTTTTAAAATGACATATGGTCTGGACATCTAATAAGAGAGAAATAGGAAAGCATGAGTATTTCTAAAAACTCAAAAAGGTGGTGTGATACCAAAAAGTTCAGGAACCATTGCTTTAATGGATTACCTCCTTGATATAAAGAGATACAACAAATGGAAACATAAACTAAGTAAGAGAGAGTGTAGGTATTCTCCCTACAACAATGAATGAAGTTTTCTTTGATAAATAGAAACTTTGCAACCTAGTTGTGGAGTCCGTATAAGCCTAATGATACATTCAGAATAGGCATAGAAATAAAGCAGGGGTCAAGAATCTAGACCAGTGATTCCCAACACTGGGTAACCAACGTGTTATTGTACTGTAGCTCCCAGAAGCCTTCACCACTAGCTGTGTTGGCCAGGGTCTCTTAAGAACACCTGGGTTATGTAAGGTTAGAAACCACTGATCTAGACTAATAAAAGTTAAAATGAGCCTGGGCGAGCTCTTAATCTACTCTTAAGAATTCTGATCACAATGACCCTCTGAGTTTAAGAAGGTCATGCAATTTTAACCTATGCTATCAATGCAATGCCAAACCTGGCTGGGAAGTGGCAGGGAGAAAGTGTGTGTAAAGGTGGGGTTAGGATGAAGCATGTTTTCCCATGACATATCCTAACACTAGTTTATTTATATATTTGCATACACTGGCTTCCACTAATGTCAGGTCCATTCTTCCGAAATTTAAATCACAGCAGGGGGAAACAATCTTTTGAACTTTGGTAAATCCATTCTTAGGGTGCAATTAGACAGCCTAATTATCTAGGCCTGGATCAGTCTAGGTCACACTAAACAGAATTACTTTGAGATTTGGTATGTTATTTGGGGTGATCCTTGCATCCACATGTAAGGAATGACCACACTGCAGCTCAAGCAGCCCTGTTTAGCATGATTAAGACTGATCTTTTTCTTTGAAAAGAAAAACAAACAAACCTCATATCTCCATGCTTTGCCTAAGCCCCTTAATGATCTTGAGAAATGGGAAGCTTTCTTTCCATTCACCTATGGTGGGGAGGAGGAAGTTTTCTATTTCTTGTTAATTGTTGCTGACTCAGCACATCAGTGATACTTTGAAAGGGCTTTTTAGAAAAGCCCTTTCATAGCGTTAACTGATGTTTTAGCAACAATGAAAAAGAAATGCAAAGTGTCCTCGCCCTTCCCCTCTGCAAGAGAGTGGGCAGGAAGCTTCCCATTTTTCAAGATCATTTAAATGCTCCAGCAAAGGGCCAGCCAGCTTTGGTTTGATCCCAGCACATAAACTGGAATGAAACCAAAATGAATCAATCCTACCTGAAACAAATAGCCCAATAGCCTCTGACAGGGCTCAAAAAGGTGCAGGAAAGCATCGACTGGGGTGGGCTAGTTCACCATGTCATGTACCTCCTATGGTCCATGGACAAAGAAGTGAACCAGCCTTTCCCCAACCTGGACCAACCTATCTGATTGCACTCTTGTTTACTAGTTATTTCATTTACAACATACTTTTATACAAGATGACTCAGAAGTTACTCCCACTCAGCTTACATCTGGGTAACTGTGGACTGCAGCTCAATCATAAGGATGAGGTGTCAGAAAGATAGAGTGTTCTAATACCAAAGCCCTTTTGACTTGCCAAGTTCCTGCCAGTAAAACAGAAGTATAGAGGAAGCCATATGCTTCATTTTTTCACACTCAGTTTTCTTCTCGCCTTTTGGAAAAAGAAATCTTCTGTGCTGCTCCCAAAGATTCCAAGCCCCTTGTTGGATCCAAGCAGATCCCTGTCCTTTTCCCTGGTGTCCACTGCCACATTCCCAATGTTCTCTTTTTCTCTGTCTTACACGGTCTGAGTTTTGGCCATGTAGAGACAGCCATCTGTGATTGCTGAGAGGGGCTAGGAGAAAGGATCCCAAAAATCAGATCTACCTTCCAAGGCTAGAGCTTCATCCACAGCCATTGATGAAGCTGTTCAAGTTCTGTCCCCAGAAGCATTTCCAGAGCCATAAGATTGTAGCCTAAATGTGTTTAGTACTGTTATGGTTGTTGCTTCAAGTATGTTATTTCCTACACAACTGTATACTGAGAAAAGTATTTTTAAATTAATGGATTGATTTTAATCATAAACACAGCCAGCTATTGATGACTCATAACTCAGCCAAAGAGGCACTTTGGGTTGTTCATTCACTGGTTTAACTCTGTGTATTCTGCACTGAATGAGCTCATAAAAGCCAAAGAAGATTGGCTCTACATGGCTAACAGGTCAAAAGTTGTCGCAAGAATCATACTTGTAATGCTTTCATGCACAGTATTTTAACTGAAGTGACAGCTTCAACCAGACAACTTGAAGGGACAAAATTAAGGTATGTTTCCAGGTTCAGTTGCTTTTCTTCATGGCCTCTTCTGAGCCAAACACAGCAATTCTTTCATAAATCTTGAATTCATCTGGTAAACTACCTGTTTAAGGCATTTGGTAGCACTACATGCCAGGCAACAAATACCACAGCCGTCCTGCACTGGTGTCACACTACAATAACTCACAACAAAATAAAAAATCAAATAAGAACAATGGAAGAGGCCTAGCAGCTTACATATCACTAATTAGTGCAGTTGTGACTGTGGTCATTTTGCATTAATTTAAGTTTGGGATAATCACTTGGTTCTTTTGCACTGTCCATATCCCCCCAACACTCCTCTTTCTCTCTCTCTCTCTCCTGGAAGCTTATGTGATAATACTTTTGCAGCTTTTGTAGCAACAAACAAATGTTGCTACAAAAACGCCATATATATTGCACTGATAAATTGCTGTTGAGAGGTAGCCATGGTAGGTCCCAGACCAGACCAGACAGCACAGTTACTTTCTTGGTGTGCTTGCACAGTGAAGCCAGCATCAACAAAAGTGAATGACACCACCAATAAGTCTTGCTTTCTAAGCAATTACCAGTTTCCACGATTTACAGCCTTTTCTGCATATGATGTTATGACTTCATATCTAGGAATGAAACATTTTCATTATTTCATGACACTGGTAAGGCAGGGACATTTTCTCCATTACATTTAAGCTAATAAAAAGATTTATAACTGTTCTAAAAACAGAAAAATGGGAAATGAGCCAATACCTTGTTGGAATCTTCGTTCTCTTCCTTGCACGGCTCTCATATTTTCAACATGGGGAAAGTCTACCTTTCTGATCATCTCTAGACCCATTAGCTGCTTAGTCCTCAAACTTGCAACAGCCAATCCCACCCAAACCAAACCAAATTGAAACAAAACAGCCTTGATTTGGACAGTACAAGACAGTGCCTAAACGAAGAGTATTGGTAAAAATGTTCTAAAATGAGATACAAATTATTTGACACACCATTGTGCAAGGCGAATTTCAACAAACATAACTAAAAACAGCACATGGTTTGACTTAAATTAGGGAACTTTCCTCCTTCCTATTACAGAATAAAGTGTTAAATAGTTAACAAAATACAACGTGTTACTCAGCATTACATGTGCAAAACTGCACTGAGTGTCTTTTAAAAGGCTTTATGATCACTGAATGGATTTGGACATAATTTTGAACTCCACACACACAACTGGACCAATGGTTCCGTAGCCACTATTGCACTTTCAAGCATTTAGTCTGGATGTGGGAGATCTGGAGAACTGGAAGCAGTAACTGAAAGGCATCCTGGATATAAGCAGTGCTGTTGCTACCCTAATGGAGAAAGTACATGTGTGTTAACAACATATTGTAGTGGCTTTCATTGATTTTTAAAAAAACCTTGCTTATTTGAAATCAATAGAAACTGCTTCTAAAAGAGTGCAGCACCATGCATTATGACTGTTGCAGGGAACTCATGGTATGTTGATGCCATATAAACATATACAAACACCAAGAAAATCTTATGGGAACAGTTTCCTAAACCCATGAGCACTGGAGTTTAAATATGTATATATTACCCACACTGAAATCCTGTTGCACAGTTACGTGAAAGCACATCTATTGATTACTGAGTTGTGTGACTGGCATGCAACAGATAAAGTCCACAGAGTTTTTTAACTTAGAGCAATTCACTTTTAAAAGTTATGCTGTTTGTGAAAATGCACAACAGGATTTCAGCTGTTATGAGTCAGCTGAGGTGTTTATTCTAAATTTTTGCTTAATTTGACAACTGTTCTCATGAAGACGGTGAACAAGTTACTAAATAAAAAGGTAATGTCATATCATTACTAGTACTACTATTTTGCATTTATATAGTGATTTTGAGCTCTCAGAGTACTATGTATACATTATTTTCTTGCAATCCCTACAACTATAACAAAGTTGAGCATTATTATCAACAAAATTCCCCATATTTAAAATACTAATGGGCTGAGTCAAAGAGAGAGTGGCTCATCAAAATCCATTTATGGACTTTATGAGTAAGGCAAAAATCAAACTGTGGCTTCTTGATAGGATCTTAATCATTAAAATATTCACCACAATTTTCCTCTTTTAAAAAAAGCAAGATAAGGATGATTTAGTTTGACTACTAGCAAAAGAGGGCTCTAACCATCCACTCATATGCTGAGTGGCCACTAGCCTTGGATTAAGTGCTTTCTGAATCCAGAGAATTCAGAGCAAGAAAGCATGGTGTTTAAAGGCAAAAGAATGAAAACAGCTCTGGAGACACAATCCAAAGCATGTTAGAAATTCAAATGAGGTTTTCTTCCACGCAGGTAATAATATATAAGACTGTCAGTGTGTTAAAGGGTGCATAATGTCTACTTCTCCATATACACTCTGGAGATCTTTCCTATGCATACTCCATTGAAATGAATGGGTTGTGATTAAAAGTTCATATTAATTTTTGAAAAAAAAACCCTTAACACATTACACTACATGAAAATGACTGTTTTAACAATGAATTATCATTTAATTCATGCATTAAATATAATTTAATTACAACAATGAAAATAAATATAATAACATACTGGGATCTGTTTTTAAGCATTTTTCAGTACAGCAAACACCAAATTAGCCCAGCTCTCTCATCTTTGTGCCATGGCAAGAAGCCATTTTTTTTGTTTCTGTCTTTGAAATGTTCTTTAAAATCTTTAGAAAATAGAGGAAGACCACTATTGCTAAACACTTGCATATAACTGATAAACACACAAAATGTTGCTGTTGATGAAATGGCTTGGAATTATAATGAGATAACTGTTACTGTATTTTTCAATCTATAAGACACTACTGTTTCCTAAAATCATTACCCTAAAAATTGAGATGTGTCTTTTACATAGAAGTAAGCCGAGATTGCTGAGAACAAAATGGCACATACCTTGCCTCTGTAAACAGACTCCCTTCAGCCACGAGGCTGAGTTTCCTACAGTCAGGAGACTTAGTTTCTTCCAATCACGAGCCCTATGGAACTGACATCAGCTGACCCTGAACAAACCAAATAGGACACACCTCCTTGGAGGTGGAGCCTGTAGGTTCAAGATTCAACAGAGACAGAATGTCTGACATTCTGAGCTTAGAGGCTGAATCCTCAAAGCTAGGTTTTCTTAATTTTAGGGTTAGAAAATTGGAGAGGGGGTCTTATAAATGGGGGTGTGTTATAAATGGAAAAATACAGTAAGTTTTATGGCGTTTCATGGAGATATAAATGTACACACAGCTTCATTTGAAAGTGACAGCAACGTAGTTCCTTGTGTAAATTAGTTCTACACTTACCTCTAAGAGTACACTGTTAACCATTGGGTTGAGAACTTCAGCTTTTTTGTCACTCTGCTCAAATGAAAACATGGGCAAGGTTTAATATTATGGCAACACTGAGAAAATGTAATAAAATCAAGCATTTCTCTGTTTCTTTCCTCTTAAAGGCCTGGTTGAGAGGTGTTCAAGAAACACAAACATCCTCCTCATTGCTTCCTTCCACTTCTGGGAGGAAGTTTTCAATTTGGCTTTTATTTTTTGAAAATGATGTAGTACATATGCGCTGCCCTATACACTTAATTCCACCACCCACCCACCCCGTTTTTGGCCCTTTCATGAAACTAAAAAAGTGTTTAATTTGTCAATATCCTGAAGTGACTTTTTAAAGCCACTTCATGATGTTGGGAATTCAAATAGGAAGACTTGCTTTTGGTTGGTTTCCATTGATTGCACATACTGGAAATGAACCAAATGAAAGTGCTCTCACTCACACCAAAAAAGAAGGAGCCTCCAACAAGGACCAGAAATGTGTATGAGTATGACTGCTCGGGGGAGAGTGGGCAGGCTGGTTCAATTCAGCAAATATGTTTTCTGAATGGCATTTTAAAAAGCAAATTAGCTTATCCCTGCAGCAAAGCAAACAGTGACCTTGCCTGTGCAGTAATCTTCTTAGTTTCTTCAGCCAGTTCTTTATGTAATTTCTGTGTGTGGGGGGGACAATTCAACCCAATTACGAATATAACGATTCCACTAACTTTCACTAAACATTTGATTCTCTTTTCAGTCCATATTTTGTATTCAAGTATAGCTATATAAGAAAATATATGTAAAGTACATTGGCTAAAAGGGATTATTAGCCAACTTTCAGAGAACTAGTAAAGATTTCCACTCTACCTGAATTGCTGGATGGCAAATAATTCTGCCTCTGAAAGCATATCCTCACCCAAAAGTAAGTGATAGTTACCACAGCTAAAGCTTATAGTGTTCACCTCTAATGTTCACTCCTTTTGCTCAGTTCTGTGGGCTTGTTTGCTATAAACCCAGAGCAAGACAGAGCTGAATCTCTTTCAACTTCTGCAAAGGCAACAAGGTCATAACTAGGAGTCATGTAAAATGCCTAGTTCTGAAGCTGGATCAGATTAATATTTCATGCTGAATTTTTTTGTTTGATCTATTTATTGAAACTTCCTCTGAGAAATATGATAAAACATGCTAAGAAAATGCAAAAATAGACAAATTCCTGTCATCAGCTTAAATTATTCACAGTGAAAGCAATATGATTAAATTATGTTCTCTTGAAAGAAACTCTGGAGAGGTATGCACTGAAGCAAAGGAGATGGAAAGAACTGACAAGAACTTGTTTTAGAATTCTATCATCAAAAAGGAATGAAACATGTTCTATATTTTAAATTGGAATTAAATTTTCTAACAATGTTTACTGCTTCACTTCACATGTTTTTTGGGGATGGCTCATCTCTGAAGTTCATTTGAAGTTCTTGCTGAAACCTCATACTTTTGATATTGAAAGGCTGGAGTTGATCTTTCTTTCTCTAGTTCCAGTCTCGGTTGTTTGCATTTCCTCAGTCTTTGTGTTTAACGGGACATGCCCTTTTCTCAACCGGTTCGTACATTCACCGTTTTTGTCAGCATCTTTTAAAATCCATTATAATTCAATCATATAAATGAAAAACAAATCACCAGTTCTGACATGCACCATAAGACCACTGACTTTCAATTTACTATCTATTACAAAACACATCTTTTGTAATAGAAAAATAAAATAAAAGCCACCTAAACTAGAGAAAAAGGGTCAAAAAGACAAGGAAGCAACAAAAGACAGAAAGCCAGCACAAATATCATTAGGGCTTGCCTATGCTGGGAGCAACTCAATTTTATGAGACTTCTCTTTCTTCTGTAAGGGACAGTGCTCGGAAGACAGAAAAGGCAGAAAAGCAGCATTCTCAATGGACCTCTTTTCCCTTGACATCTGGCGTTTTTTCTTCCCAGATGTACCATTTGATCATTTAGATCAGAGATGGGATAATTATAACTAGTGCTAAGTACTCATTTTACCAACCTCAGAAGAATTGAATGCTCAGTCAACCATGAGCCAGGTACCTGAAACCATCAGGGTTGAAGTTAAGCAGAGTCTAGTTACTTTTAAAGAATGGGTAATGAGTATTCTGAATAAAGCATATGATTGCAGAAAATAGCCTTTATTAGAGGCATTTTAAATTGGTAAGAAAAATGGAGCCCACATGCTGCTGTTTGCATGCAAATAAGGCAAGAGACGCAAGTGTATGACTGTCAAACTAAGGTCTTGTCTGCTGCTCTGATTTTAGCTCTGTAGTGAAATATATTCTGTACACTGGATACTTATGGGAATTAGGATCTCAATTTTCTTACTTGCTGGTTCTTGCAAGACTTAGATATCTAAAGTAACTTATTGGTACTTACCCCGACTGAAGTTAAAAGATCAGAAAATTCCTTTGAGAGGGATGATACTTCATTACACATTGTATCTGTTAAACTGTTAAAGAAACAACAGAAATAATGGGAGTATCACTAACATCTGTAGCATGAGAAACCCAACTATCATGGTGAGCTGCAGGAAAAATGCTATGACGAGTCTAATGGGTGCAGCAAAAACATTATTTTGCATATGGAAAACTGCAGGTTCAATCCCTGCCACTTCCATGTAGGTCTGGGAAAGACCCCAATCTGAAACTTTGAAGACCTGCTCACTGGTTGGCATAGGCAAAACTGTGGTAGGCAGTACAGTGAATTGACCCAGTATAAAGCAGTTCCCTGTTTTTCTAGATCTGAAATGACTAGCCATTTGATTAACCGGTGGACACATGTAGCTCTAGCAGCATATCCATAGTTAAGACCTAACATGAATTAATGACCATTGAATACAAATGTAAGAAGACGAGCCATGGCAAATCAGACACAAAGCTTTCCTAAGCCCATATTCTAATATGGGACGAGAAATCCGTTTCCTACAGTGGCCTACCACATCTCTATGGAGAGCCCCATATCAGGAACAGCATGCCTTCATTTTTGTTTTCCCTACCTGATATACTGAGGCAGGTTGTCAGTAATATATAGATAGCCAAGATCCCAGAAATCCTAGGTAGCCTGATCCTCCATGGATCTATCTAATCTACTTTCAAACTGATTCAAGTTGTTGACCATCATTACATTTGGAACAAAAATCCACAAACTGATTACGCATCTTCCTTTCACCTGTCCTGGATCACTGAAGTTTCTACTATTAATGGCAGGAGACATGAAATTCTGCAAAATCTAGAAGAAGTTGGTAGGAAGGAACTTCTTTCTATCCACTTCCTTCATACTTTGCATAACATTATATATCTCCATGATGTCTCCCCTCACTTGTCTTCTTTTTAACATAAGTAGGATCAAATGTTATAACTTTTCCATAATTGTTTCCGTCCCTTTGGTATTTTAGCTGCCCTTCTCTAAAACATTTTCAGTTCCAGAATACATTTCTGAGGTAAAGTGACCAGAACTGTACATAATATTTCAAGTATGGCCACATGATACATATCTACAAAGGTAGTTTTACATTTTCATTTCCCTTCCAATTATGTCCTATTTGTAATTTGTTTTTTTTCAATGCAGCCATACAGTGGGTCAACATTTCCATCAAGCTGTCCATCACAATGTCAAGTTCTTGATCAGCTACTATCATCTCAGAAACAATCAGTGTACAGTGGTGCTCCGCTAGATGCTTACCCCGCTAAACGACGAAATCGCTTGACACAGACTTTTTTGCGATCGCAATTGTGATCGCAAAACGATGTTTCCTATGGGGGATTTTCACTTTACATTGATTAGGCCCTTGCTTCATGAACTGTTTGTTCGCAAAACGATTATTTTTCCAGCTCTGCAAAATGGCTTCCCTTTGCAAAATGGCTGTTTTCTCGACAGAAGCTTCGCAAAACAGCAACTTTAAACAGCTGATCGGTGGTTCTCTATGGGCGATCTTTGCTGGACGATGAGGTATTTCCCCATTGGAACACATTAACCGGTTTTCAATGCATTCCAATGGGGGTTTTTTTGGCATGACGACGATTTCGCTTAACATTGATTTTAACAGAATGGATTATCGTTGTCATGCAGAGCATCACTGTATATGCAAAACTAGGATTGTGTATCCCATTATCCATCACTTAATGTCCACTTACAGTCAACTGTATTTGCCATTTTAATGCCCAATCCCCCAGTTCCAACATATCTTTTTGGAGATCTTCACTGCCTTCATTTGAATAATGTGAGATCTGCAAACCTGGCTACTTCATTATTTAACCCTAGTGCAAGAATATTTATGAATGTGCCAGTGGACACCAGTCTCAGTACATATTCTTGGAGGACCATAATTTGTGGTAATAGATTAAAATCTAAGAACTGGTTGTGGAATTAAGTGATCTGCTGCACCAGCATGAAAGTGCTTCAAATAGGACACATCTGCCTGGACCAATGTGCCATTAGTGGTGCACTAGGACCAAAGATTGCAGAGTTGAAGACCCGAGACTATTAGCCACCCTCCCAAGACTTTCCTTTTTCCCAACCTTGGTTGCAGTCCTCACAGTAGTTGAATAAGAAAAAGATTTTCCCCAGATACACTTTTTTTTTGCAAGTTAACCCATATCCCAAAGAAAAATATTTGGGTGTGGTTTAGTTTTGAAAGGGCAATGAACAGCCACGAGTTTACAAAACATGAAAATTGTCCTCAGTACATAACACCATCTGATGGTGACAATTTTCAGTAATGAAAGGCTCTCTCCTTCCATCCTGCAGCTCCTATAGCTTCCACATGATGAAGTGGATTACACAGGAACTGGAGAATCTGCAGGACAGATATTACTCTTTAATTACCGAAAATCACTCCCTGCTGGTGATATCATCATCCTTATGCAGGAGTAAGGATTCCACCCTACTAAAGGCATAATAAAATAAGCACTTTCTCAAAATTGAAAAAGAAAGAAAAAGAAAACAAGAATATATTCACTTTGTGAGAACTTTTGCTTGATCCAAAGCAGGCTTTTCCACTTCTTGTCCATGAAGAATTAGTTCAGCTAATTTATGGAGTTGCTCAATGCAACGTGCTGTTACTTCAGCAAGGCTTTCAATAGACAACATGTAGATTTCCTACAAAGAAACACAAGGATTCAGCACTAAAGGCATGATGCTACAGATGCCTTGAATTCAAAGGTAATTAATACCATGATTAAATCAGTTCATGTGCTGATTAAAAAGGAAAAGAACAAATCCTTTGAGAAGACAGATATACCCTAAGGCCCATGTACATCTCTGGAGTTTTGGGAAGAGAAATGCCAGTGGGACTATAAAATCTTACTCTCAACAATTCATAATTTATTCTTTATAAATTATGAATGAATTCATTATAAATGCACCACTTCCCATGGCTGAGGAAAAAGCCTTACACTCACAATGAACAATGAACAAAAGAAAACTACTCACCTACAATATTTGGGCCACTTACACTGTCCAAAGACCTGGAAGAATAAACAGGTCTTTGCCTTGTACTGAAAAGGTGATCATGTTGATGCCAAGGGAATATCCCAGATAGGCAAAGCCCATTCTTACCTCCTCAGTTTGCCACAGAAAGGAGTGCAAAGGGAAGGGCTTCTGAAACTGATGCCAAGGACTGGATAGGTTGATCTGGGAAAACGTTGCCCTTGAAATGTCAGGATGCCACGTTTTTCATGGCTTAATAGCTCAAAACCAGCAATCCCAGATTGGTCCAGAAATAAATTAGCAATCTAGGTAGGTTGGTACAGGACTGAAGTTATATATTCAGACCACCTTGTCTCCTTCTCTGTAGCTTGGCCCTTGAATGCTTTACTAGCTGCAGTTTTGACACAAGGCAGACCAATGTATAACACATTGTGGTGATGCAATGTAAAGGTTACCAGAGCACAGATCATGGGAATCAAGCTATTCTTATTCAAACATTTTCATAGATAAGGTACTGACTGCTGGTAGAAAATATTTTGCAGCATGAATACCATATGAGCCTCCACTGATACACATGGAATGGAATGCACCCAAGCATGCATGTCTTCTCTTTTCAAAGGAGCACAACCCCATCCAGAACTAGTTGAACCTTGTATAGTCAAGCAGAGGATCAATTCACTAACATGTTGGCAAAGTTAAAAAGAAAAAGGAAAAGGAAAAAAAAAAGAGAGAGAGAGAAACAAAATATTGTGGTACTTTAAAGACTAATGAATTTATTTCAGTGTCAATCTATGCAGACCAAAATCCACTTCTTTAGACACAAGGAGTGCATATGTATGACCTCTATATTTACACATGACCAAGCAAGGATACAAATAATTAAACTGATTGTGGTTTGTTAACATTAGAACTGGACTATCAAGGTGTTAATTACCAGAGGTAGTAGGCCCAAGCTAGAATGATCAGCTGTATCCCAGGTGGACATGGTTGATAAAAGAATAGTATTTGGGATTAAGGTCAGATTCTGTCAAGGGAGACAACTATTTTTGATCCATAACATATTACAGGAAGTTGAGTTATTAATATATGTAGTGCTCTAAGAAGCCTTGATCTCCATGGAGACCCTAAACATGAATGAGAATTTGTTTATGTAGCCAGACTCTGCTGTCTCCCTCCAGGTACTGTATCTCTTTGTAATTCCTTTTTCCTTCAATAGCCACTCTGAGATCAGTAACAGAGTACCATGATCTAATTTTAATGTTCTAAATTTGCTTTGTCTGTGTTGCTGTTCTTGATATCAGACTTTTGTCCATCTCAGTAACAGAGTACCATGATCTAATTTTAGTGTTCTAAAATTGCTTTGTCTGTGTTGCCGTTCCTGATATCAGACTTTTGTCCATCCAATTCTTTTGCGCAGAGATTGTCCTGTTTCTCCTATATAGAAAGCAGAGGGGCACTGCTGGCAAATATCTAAGCAAATGCAAACAGTGAGGTATTGCTCCTAAGGGACTAAGAGTGAATAATCCTCTGTCATCTACATATTGCCTGGACTATAGCCAGAAGTTATGCAGCACTCTTTTGAAGAAATGATGAGACCACGTCATTAGGGTTCATACAGCAAAGAAGAACAGAAAGAAATCTCAGAGCTCAAATTACTTCTATAGAACCAAATATCTGTACTGTACACCGAACAAAGAAATAGAAAAAAATCTACAAAAACCACAGTTTACCATTATTACTTTGTCCATCTTTACTTATCTCTTTCACTGGGATATGTATAAATATAGAAGACCTGTCTTTGCACTCCTTGTATTGAAAGAAGTGGATCTCTTTCCTTCCTCGCCCCCCTTTAATTTTGCCCGTATGTTGAGACAGACTAACATAGCTAGTTCTTTAGAAACCGCATTAACTAATAGTGCCAGTCTTGTTTGTCTTGTGCTTCAGCTTGTCGGATCCCATCTAGTTCTTTATCAATGCCAGATATATATACCACTCCCACAATGGTATCATATGAAACAGTATCATAGACAAGATGGAATCCTGCGGAATCCTACAATGGGGGTGTCATGGCCCATGGGAGCAACCCCTAAACGTCAGTCGCCTGCTGAAAATGGCTGTCCATGCAGGACTCCAAAATCAGTCATCCACTTGAAACCAAGAAGTGTGAATGGAAAGACCCCCATGTCTAACTCAATAAGTCACTGGCGGAAGGGGGCAGCCACCATGGCCTCAGTCCAAATCCAGGTGATTGAAATGGACTTAGAAAATCAATTTCATCCAAGAGTGCCTGGGGTCTGGTCAGTGACCATCCAAATGGAAATAAATCTCACCTCTACTGTTTTGTTCTTTCTTCCTTCTCTTTTTCCAGATTCTCCTGTTTGAGATTCCTTTTCACCTTCTTGTTCTACTTCATCATCTTTGTTTTTTTCTGCTGGATCCTTTTTCATTTCTACACACACAGGGAGGGTAGCCTCTGCCAAGCAATCATAAGCTTTCTTTCTAGCCTAGAAGACAACCACCACAAAAGATGACAAAAGTTTAATATTGTGGGATATTATATTCCTTCCATATTCCGTGTATCAAAACTACATATGTAGTTCATAAAGTATAAAGACATTTCCCATGTTTTAAACTGGTGGAAAATGCCTTTGTAAGCATGAAAATTGCTAAGGTGCCTTCCTGTTATAGCAGAGTATAAACTCTTCTGCTACTGCTTGAGGAAAAATTTGCAGAAAAGGAATTGGGGATCCTTCCACATAGCTCTATAGTTTGATGTATCTTTCGCCTCACACATTCCTTTCCATTGCTGCCCATTTTTTTTTGCCATTCAGTATGTTCTCCATAATCTGAGGATCCTGACATAGAAAAGTTGTACACCAAAAATTAGCATCTGAAATCACAGTGAAGAAATACTAAGAGAAGGACAGTAGATCTGAAAGGCAAAATTACTGTCATTCCAGGGAATGAGTAACCCCTTTTATCAATCTACAGAAGTCTATTTTACCTAATTATCCTAGACCAGCTCTCTGTGGTTACAGTTGCTGTTCTACTAAATCTTCAGATCTACCACTACCATTGGCCTCCTGGTGTCTTTCTAAGCGGTTCACTCCAGTATACTTTCAATTATTGCAGAGTTACATCGTCGTGGTGGGAACTCAGATGAGGCAGGAAAAAAGATTGAATTCTAGGTGAATTATTAAACAAAGCTACCCACCTTGTTGAGTTTATCAGGAGTAGCAGCAACATGAAGTTCAAACAGCAATTCTGTAAGTATGGTAACAAATTCAACTTCAGGATCTGTATAAAAATGATTAAAAATAAGTAAGCAGAGAGAAAAAATGGATTATATCTTCTGTTTCTCAGAAAGTCAAATGTTAATTATTAATAAAGATTTCTCCTTTTGTTTCTTTTTGTTTTTTTCTGTTTTTACTAACAAACAGACCTGCCTGTTTGGTTGGCCTGATACAGGTAATACCCTAATAAACATTTGGAAACTCTAATTTCTCTTTTCCCCTTCTTAAAGTTTAAGAAATGAGTGAGTTTCTTCAGGCCAATAACAGCATGCTGGGAAAGGCTGAAGGCAGCAGGAAAAGAGGAAGACCAAATGTGAGATAGATTGACTCCCTAAAGAAACCCACAGGCTTGAGTCTTGTAGACTCAAGCCTCCAGGACATTCTGGAGATCATTCATTCATAGGGTCACCATAAGTCAAAGGTGTCTTAACAGCATGTTAACAACAATAACAACAACATGTTCCTAACCATTCTTTAATGTGCAGTAGTATTTATTTGCCACTTGTATGCAGTTTCTAGTCTTTCTAAAATTAATATATTGGTCAAATGTTCTGTATGTTCCTGTCTGACAAACCGTCTGACAGAGACTAACAGGATAATCCGTCTTTATCCACATAACTGCTACATTTAAAGTGATGCATGAGTGTCACCTGTTGATTCCTCACCAAAAGTGTTTATGGAATGGCACTTGACTAGGTCAAAAGCCAGAGGAACTAATTCTAATCCAGCAGATACTTGCTACATTGGAAAATATGAGGCTGCTCCAATGCTCCCTGTGAATATATGGGAATATTTCATTATCTAGTCATTAGTGTAGAAGACATTGCTTCACACTTCCAATCTGTCATTAGTACAGGGGATACAGCAGCCTGAAAACAGTTATAACAGGACTGAATGTCTTCATGTTCTACTGACTAGTCAGCTAAAGGTCAAAAGACTTTTACAATTTCTAACTCTACTATCATACCTAATTTTCTGATTTTGTTCTGTACAAAGGTATATTCATGAGTAAGTCCTTTTGATTTTGTGTCATGTTTCATTTGTGATGGTACATTAAACTATTATATTTGATCAAGAACGAGTCAAGTCTGAACTCACATCAGAAGCTAAAATGACCAAACTGGGGTTACTGAACTTCAGACATTTAAGAAGACAAGACTCACTGGAAAAGACAACATTTTAAGTTGAAGAGTGGAAATTTCAACATGAAATGGACTGAGGAGGAGACTACATTGGCAAATAATAGAAGAAAGGTTCTGGGATTAGGATGGTCAAATTTACATCCACTGACTAACAACATATATGTCAGTGTGAATCAGCCCCAAGTTCCCACACATTTGATTTTTTCCCCCCTGTCACTGGCAATTTTCTCTATTTGTAGTGAATACATTCACATTGGTTCAGAAGGTATGACTGCTTGAAGTGTGTGTGGAGTGCCAGTGGTTGCCAGCCTGGGAATAGGAAACAAAACAGAACTCACAGGGGTCAGTCCCCCTCAAATGTTTAGGAGACTACCAAGGAGACTTTAGATCTTTGTGCTGTTCCTTTAGAAGAAGGTTTGATACAAGTGTTGCAACAAAGTTGCACAAGGGAACCTAGGACACTGGAGGGGAGATAATACTTTGCAGCTTTTAAAGTTAGCAGTGCTGTAGTTGCACCTCCTGCAAGGTTGGATGGCTGCAGTAGACTCTGCTTTAACAAGATACAAATAAGGGCTGATTGCCAATTGCCTCCTCTCTCTTTCCTGACTCCTGTGTGGTCAACTAAGCCAAATTCACTGAGGGAAACCTGACTCCCTGGGTATAAATTCATAGTGGGGCCATGTGGATTTTTTCGCTCAGTACAGTTGCACCCTGACTCAACAGAGGTGTCATAGCCTTGGATTTGCAAAATCTGATAAAAGTTTTTAATAACAGGACATTTTGGAAATCATTTAAATCATAGAGTAATTTGGAAAAATGAATGGCACATAAGAACAATCTATTATTAAAAGTTGGATGGATGCATTTTCAATAGGAACATCTTGAGGGATGTCATTTAGGGATTAAGTCAGTCATAAGCAGCAGAGACCAAGAAATTCAGTGGTTCTGAATTAAACTTGTCATGTTTGTGACAGTAATTCTCCAAGTACCTTTCTTTGCTCCATTCCCATCATTATCTGATTCCTGCGGAACAAAGACTTCCTTAATAGCAATTAAAGCATTTTTTACTGTTTCCAACTCCTCTCCTTCAAGTGAACCCATGTAGGATTGAATCTGAAACAAGAAACAATCATTTTAACTAAACCAAGGCATGCACAGCTGGGACAGAGCATTTCCACATGGCTGTAGTATATTGTGCGTGAAAAAATGGAGCAGGTGTGTCCTTGATATCTACATTGGTTGCAGTCATGTATTAGTAGTTTACTTTTATTTGTTTGTTTGTTTGTTTAACTTATATGCCGCCCACACTATCCAAAGGTCTCTGGGCAGCTTACAACAATTTAAATACAGTAAAAAGATAAAACAATTAAAATACAGTGCTCAAAAAATTGCCATCAGAACCCACAGTTGACGTTATTTCAATTAAAAACCTTCTGGAACAGGAAGGTTTTGACCTGGTGCCGAAACCTCATCAACATTGGCGCCAGACGAATCTCAGTCGGAAGGGCATTCCTCTTACATTTTTGAGGTAATGGCTCTTTCAGGAGGGTCCCCTGGCTAGATCTTAATTGCCAGGTAGGTTCATATGGAAGGAGGCGGTCCTTCAGGTATCCAGGGCCCAAGCCGTTTAGGGCTTTATATGTCAAAACAAGCACTTTGAATTGGGCCCGGGCAGCAACTGGTAGCCAATGTAACTTATACAGAATCGGCTTGATATGTTCCCTGGCGGCTGCACCACTCACCAGCCGCGCAGCTCGATTCTGGACCAGTTGCAGTCCCCGGACCGTCTTCAAAGGCAGCCCCACATATTGCGCATTGCAGTAATCTATACGTTATCAGTACATGCATAACTGTCATGAGACTCTGCTCATCCAGGTAGGGCCATAGCTGGTATAATTTCCACAGCTGAAGGAAGGCGCCCCTGGCCATCAAGTCCACCTGGGCTTCCAGAATTACAGGCTGCGGACCCTGTCCCTTAGGGGGAGTGTAACCCCATTCAGGACAGGGAAATGGCCCTCTAGCCTGTCCAGTGAAGCACCCACTAACAGCACTTCCATCTTATCTGGATTCAGTTTCGATTTATTAACCCTCATCCAGTCCATTATCAGGTCTAGACACGAGTTCAGCACAGAAACCGCCTCACATCGATTGGTGGAAAACGAGAGGTAGAGCTGAGTGTCGTACCACACTATTAGATGTGTAGGTTTGTAGTTAGTCATTTTATTAATGTTTTATACCCTTATCTTCCTCCCAAACCCCCAGTGGTGTATTTAATGGCTCACAAGAGGGCTTGTTTAATTTAGTAATAAAACATCACTTTCTTTCTGACAATTCCCTGTATCTTTACTGCCAGAAAAGATTTTATGGTGTTTCACTGAACTGTTCTCTCTAGCTGCATCTGTCAGCTAGCATCGGCAACAAGCAACAACTTTCTGCTATCCATCTAGATGCATCTGCTTCATCCCTGCCAATGTCAAACCACACTGCTTCATTAACACAACAGCATGGGATCAAATGATACTTGCTAATGCAACAAAGGAGGTTTGAACCTTAACAGTAAGATTTTATGTGGTAGGTAGGGTGGGGAGAAATCAAAGCTGGTTGTGGCCCTCTATGTCCCCTTTTTTCAAAAGAGGAAAAAAGGCAGAATCAGGCCTCTAAAAGCCTCTAGATAATGGAATTCTCATCTAAAGCAGTGATGCCCCGTAATTTATATAATGTATACAATTATTATTATTTTTATGCAACAGAATAAAACACTTTAATAAAGAATAGTTCAGCAGAGGAAAATAGATCCTTCATGTTTTCCTTTTATTTTGTCCCTTTTAGCACCTTTGCCTATTGGGCTATTAACACTGGATTCTATGCACAGAGAAAATTCAAATATTGTTGTCACTACATGACGCAAGGCTGAGCCATGGAGATTATGGAACCCCACTGCATACATACCACTTAAGAGTAAAATTAAGTATACCACATTGGATACAAGTCTACCATGCTGAAAATGGCATTCCCACGTCAAGTACCCTTTCATCTCCTGGAGCACTCTCCCCATTTTAACTTTTACCTTTCCCAACTCCTGTTCCACATTTTAGTTACTTCTCTTAGGATCAGGAAAAAGCACATTAGCATCACAACAAAGTGAGAAAAGGATTCTGCACATCGCTGAAGAAAGGTGGGAAAAAGTTAGCACATGCACACTCTGTTTTGGTGACACCCCTTTGTTCAGGAGTTGAAATCTAAAAAAGGAACTTTTAAAAGCTCTAGGTTAGGGGAAAATGCAACAAGGGGGTTTCTTCTTCTACAGCACAGGTGAGTGCTAGACAACACGAACCAAATACCATAGAGACATTTCTAAATGTTATGGGCCACTCAGCCTAAAAAATTATAAATCCAAATGGCCAAATAAGTATGGGCAAGATGTTGTTCCTGCTATGATAAGGGAGTTTCTTAGAAGCACAGTTTTCAATCTTAGTGGGAGCTATTCTTAAGAAATATATTCTAATAGGCATTCTTGTTAGCTTGATTTATGCAGTCCATTTACGATACCTTGGCTTCACTTTCATTAGACAGAATTTCCAGAGCTTCCAGATGAGACAGGCCCTGAAACTCATCAAAAAGCAGCCCATAATGTGCCGTTCTTTCAAATGTGACTTGCTGGGCAAGCCTCTGCTTCTCTTTTTCTTTTGCTTCTCTCAGTAGCTGTGGAAATATAGATCATTGTTACTGGTTTATTGGTTGCACAGCAGATTTGACAGATTCTATTACCTTTAGACTCAATGCCTGTAGGCAATAATAGTAAAGTTTGGGGTTAGACCATAGAAAAAGAGGTGAAATGCTTCATTTTTTATTATAACAATTCTAGTAAAATATTTTAAACCAAGTTTCCTGTATCCCTTTTATCATTAATGGTGATTATAGGTGGACACAGTTTTTAAAAACTTAAGTGGCTTCAAGTACAAAATCACATATAAATAATAGTTAATGTAAATAACCACTACCTGCAAAAATTAAAATGAAAGGGTTTATTCTCTGCACTGTAAGTTATAATAAAAATAATTATGTGAGCTTCAGTTTCTCCAGTTGATTTCAGTAAGACCGGCATAGCAGAATTTCCAGACAGAATGAAGGGTAGTATATAAGTGTTCTCAAGAAATAGATAAAATCATATGCCACCTATTTAAGGGGATGTGATGGATGCACTACTGTTCTTAAATCCAGGGTCTGAATTTCGGTTAGCTCTGAACTAGACATCGGCACTTTATATTCATATCTCTAGGGATATGAATACGAAGTGTGGTACCACAGGTGTCACAGAAGTCCATCCCCCCCCCACCGGCCAGTCCACTCACTGGTCACCATGAACTGCACATGTCTGTCACCATCAACACTGCACTAATTGGGGAAGTAGCCCGGCTGGTACTTCCCCGCATCCCCGTGCAGCCGACCATTCTGATGAGGACGCAGGATGAAGAGTCTCCCTGTTCAGCTGTTGAGCGGTCGGCTGTGCAGGGAGGCAGCAAAGCACTGGCCAGGCTACTTCTGTGATTGATGCAATGTTGATGACGAAGGACGTGCACACATGCCACACAGTGACCAATGAGTGGGCCAGCCAGTTCTTGGGGGAGGGAATGGACTTCAGTTGCACCTGTGGTGCCGTACCTCATAGTTGTATCTCCAGGGATATGAATACGCCCATGTCTACTCTGAACCCCTTTGATAAACTTAAAGATTGTTCAGCCTCATTGTGCCATCCCATTTTCTCTTAAGAAAAACAAAAACACAGTTGCTGTGATTGTAAAAGCGATGAAGAATTATAAACTAATTTGATTTTTTCCAATATTCAATCTAGTCTATCCATCTGCTATTATTTTACATCTTGTTCCCCAAGCAGATAGCTGCTTATCCTGACCCTTTAGGTTCCTGTTCTGAGACACTGGGAAGCAGACTTGCAGAAAAATAATAGTGTCATCAGCTGCAACCAAGGCAGCATCTACTCATACAGTTAACAGAATACTATAGAAAGAGAACACAGTGGAATGGGCCAGATCAGGATTATCCTACTTCATTTTGAGATGAGGAACTGCACCACTGTGAAATAAATGAATTCTTATCTGTGATTCTGCTTTATAATGATACCACTTAATCACATGCAAACTCTTGATGATATGAAGAGTTTAGACACTTCCTATTCTAGGTATTCCTGGAGGCATATATAATTAGTGTAGAAAATGATGTTCTTCCATGTGACAAATGTTACCTTCCTCTACATCTTCAACATGAAAGGTCAACACAAAGAAAGTAACCTACATAAAAATCTGTGCTCATTCCTGGATATGTAGTCTGGATAAGTAGTTAGCCATTCATGGTAAGGACTAAACACAGGATAAAAGCTTTAGAGGCCCTTCAGAATGCCAAACACCCTGCCATATTATGATCATAAACAACTACATATACTTTGCTGTTAATTGCTTATGTTACTGATCAGGAGAATTGGTTTATTTTACCTGAGACAAGGAGACTGTTCGTTCCATCAGTATTTTGGTTTTCCTAAACCCAGGATCACTTTCTGCAAGGACATTCATGGTCTTCTTGCCAATGAACTCCAAAGCATCAAGGCCACCCGTTAAGACACTTCTACCCTGTACAGAACAAAGAGCAATACTCTTGTGGATTCCAATCACAGTCCGAAACACACTTATTTATAAGTAAGAAATTCCCATTAATTTTAACAGCACTTGTTCCTAAATAAATTTGCTATGGATGCCAAACATTTTTTCAATATACAGCTCTATATGACCAGTTATATATGACCAGTGAATATGCAGTTTAAGAATGCTCAACCCCTTCTGTTTTTCCTACCATTCCAGATGGTAGGATTTATGACTTTATTAGTCAATGCTCACATGGAATATGGATTCCAGATGAAGAAGTACTGCAGTTGAAAAATGAAATTAAAAGAAAGTAATTAACGCAAAGGAAGGTCTTCTATTGAATTTTTTTTAAAGAGATCATATTGACATAGATGATAGATAAATAGATAGACAGAGATAGAAATACCAATATAGATATAAAATAGTATCATTTCTGTGTTAGGGCACTGGTTTTATGAACCTATGTTCCCTTTGGTTTTTCAAAGAGGAGACTATTCAGGGAGAATAGATTTTACCTATAGGTTTGTAGTTCATAACTAATTATCAGCTGGAAGATCCCTGGGAATGATAGTCATTTTCTAGTGTACCTCTAACTTTGTGTGCGATAAAGTGAGACCCATGAGACCAAATCTGTGTGTCATATGTCTTGAAGAGGCCTCCTGCAACACTCACACTCCCCCATTCCTACTCCCTCTGCAATGCACAGGAACCCTGTGGCAGATGTGGGGCGGTTCTTCAGCTGGCAAGCTGATGTGAACAAAGTACTAGGGGAATTCACTAATGGAAACGCTGAGAATATTCTTGTTATTCCTTCTTTAAACGATGGTTAGCAGAATCACAGCAGACTACATATTCAAGATACCTTAATTTGCCAAAATAAAACAAAGCAAAACAAATGAAAAAACATGCATTGAATTTAAGGGGTTGGGTGTCATGGCAGAACATGAAGCAGAGGACACGTCCATAAACAACCCCCTTGATTTGGAAATGACTTGCACATTAAGTATAGACTCTGTGCAATAGTTTGTTAAAAGCTGACCAAATGTCACAGGAATGGTCAGTCTAGCACTTGAAAAACGGCATAGAAGCATATAAACTATTCATAGATTTGACGGGTCATCTTGCAGCCAATGTGGTTTGAGAGTTAGCAAATCTCTGAATGACTCTGCAGCTTTTATAATACAAAGTCAAATAATTTATATATATATACATATATATATAATTATTTGACTTTGTATTATCCTTCTGTCTATTTTTTGAATCTGGAATAGCTTACAGTATTCTGTACTGCACTACTGATGGATGAAAGCATTCCACGTGAACCAGAAGGAGATGAGGGTAAAGATGTGTCCTCTGGAGGGTGTTGCTGTGCGGTCTCTTCTGTATCTTAAATGGAAAACAAACGAACAATAACCCCAGATGCAAATAAGATAAAAATATGCTTACAACTTTGATATAAATACAGAGACATGCCCATGTTGGCACAGATTATAAAGGATAATAAGTCACTTGCCATTTGTAAGAATGTTTTCAACTGTGCCAGGATGTCTATCTTCTGAAGGTCCAGAAGAAGGAACATGAATTCTAAGTGTGGCTGCTTTTTCCTTTACTGCTGTTAATCCTTGACCTGCAGTGGAACAAGTATCGTTCATACATAACAGTTCTCCATAAATGTATTCTGTTTCTTTAACTATTCCATCTTGGCAATGTATTTAGAAATAAGTGTTAAGTTTTTGAGCTTTGAAAGATTTTATTATGTTTAATATACTGTTGTGTTTTATTATTTATGTAAGTCGCCCTGAGTAGATTTTGTCTAGGGGGGGGCGGCGGGGTAAAAGTCTAATAAAAGAAAAGTAAAAGTAAAGTATGTATCGCAGAAAATCCAAAACAAATGAAATAGGTCTTAATCGGCCAGTTTTATATATGGAAAAGTTGCAGAGAGCTTTTTACTTTCTTTCAGCCTTAGTCAAACTGCTTCCGATATGCAGTACTACAGTGGTGTTGAAGTATTTCTCAGGTTTGTTTTAAATATTTAAAGATAATATATGCAGTGCTTTAAACACTCAAAGGCACAGTGCAAATGCTAAATATTTATTTATTTAGCTGTATATGTGATACTTAGCTCACTTTCCCTCCAAAATTATGACTCAATTTTTTCAGATTTTTTCACAAGTGCTGTTAAAAACACAGTAGTAATATTAAGGCACAATTAAACTAATAAAAAATGGCAATTGTTTTGATCTGTTATTCATCAAGGTTAACAAATCAATGAATACAAATATACGAATACTCTTTGACGAATTGACAAACTGATCTGTCAATTCGTCTGCATTTTAAATGGCTATAACGCTGGCCCCTGATGTCCTAGAGACACTATATTTGCAGGGCAGCTTCCTCAGACAGATTTCTACAACTCCTGAAAGTTGGGTGAATATTGGAACATGGACCATCGAGGTATATAATCACAAAGAGGGCCCCACCCAGGAAAGCTCCTCCCAGGTACTTAGAGAATCCAGAATCACAACAGAGCTTCCTATGTCTTTCTCCAACATGCCTGCCAACTTTGGTGAAGATTGGATATCGGAACTCTGAGTTATTTACCCACAAATTGGGTCACCCCAGGAGAGTTTACCACACGGCACAGAAGCCCATGGCATTGAGGGAGTTATATTTAGCCCCAGCAGAATGAGAGGTCCTTTTGGCAGAGGTACGAATGAGGCATCGAGTTTGTCTTTAGCTCAGAACAGCATTACATTTGCCAGTGAAGTAGAGTTTGCCCTCAGGAGGACTGGGAGGCAAGGAGGTATTTGGCAGCACAGCAGGTTTTTTGGCTCTGTCAGGCACAGAGGAAGTTGGCAGCAGCAAAATAGAGTGTGTTGCCCCATCGGGCACTCAGGCACACGGCGGCAAGAAAGCAGGCTCTTTTGGCCCCTCGGGCACTGAGGGAAAAGGCAGCAGGAAAGCAGGCTCTTTTGGCCCCATCGGGCACTGAGGTAAGTTGGCAGCATCAAGGTAGAGTGTGTTGCCCCCATCACACACAGAGAGACATAGTGGCAGGAAAGCAGGCTCTTTTGGCCCCATCAGCCTCTGAGGGAAAAGGCAGCAGCAAAGTAGAGTGTGTTGCCCCATTGGGCACACAGGCACACGGTGGCAGGAAAGCAGGCTCTTTTGGCCCCATTGGGGAACTGAGGCAAAAGGGAGCCGCAAGAGACTCTGGTCTTTTTCTGCAACATCACATTTGCCTGTGAAGATACTTAAGTTTGTCTTCAGGAGGCAACTAAGGTTGTCAAAGCAGCAGCAACAGCAGGAGCATAGGGTCCGACTGCAAGGTGCTACTAATGGCGGTTAATCAGGGTGGCCGTTGGGCTTCTTGAGTGGAAGATCAACAGTTCGAATCCATGCGATGGGATGACCTGAGCTCTTGTCCCTTGTTTCTTCTTCTGTCTACGTACTGAGTTAAACTGCTGCTGAGCCACTAGGCTTGTTGATCGGAAGATCTGCCAACCTACTCCAGCAGTAGCCCGAGTGGACTTTGGAGCACCGTGTTGCCATGGGATGGCAAGACAGGCATTGGGTGGGGCAGAGCCCAGCCCTCTTGGCACAGGGATGCCCAGACAGGTTGGGGGGGCAGAGGAAAAGGAAGAGGCAGAGGCAAAAGGAAGCAAAAGGAAACTCTCTTGTCTTCTTCAGTGCAAAGGTAGTTCAGTTTGCCCCCAGGAGGCAACTGAGGTTGCACAACTACACCAACAGCAGCAGATGAATAGGGTCCAAGGTGCTCCAAACATAACGGCAGTTAATCCACGGGGTCGCTGGTGAGCTGAGCTCCCATAGTTTGTTTCAAGTTCTGCCTACTTACTGAGGCTGTAGAAGAGCTAGGAAGCTGGAATGAACAGTCTGCCAGTTTTGGGTGGGCCTAAGACAGGTCCTCTTTGGCACAGGGGATGCCCGGACAGGCTGGGGGGGGGGGGCTT